GTCCTGCTGCTTTGTGAACTTTTTACCTTGTTTTGCTTTGATTTTACCTTCTCAGTGCTTAGTAAATCTAGGAATATGCTTTCTAGTGACTTTAACCTTTGAGCTGCTGTTTTGTCCAGACTGATCTTGGTGCAGAATAAAGAGGCTGAGGCTGTTTCTAACTTGCTTTATTTGAAATTTTCTAGCTTCTCCAGAGATGAATGCATTATGTTGTACAATAATTTTACCATGTTTTAAATTTATTATGTATTTAACTATATGTGTTTGTTTATGTATCTATATACCATATTTTTGGAGTATAAGACGCTTTGAAGTATAAGACGCACCTAGCTATTGGGGAGGAAAACAAGAAAAAAAAATCTGCCTCTGCCTCCCAGCAATTTGCCTCCTTGCAGCAAACATCAAACAGCTTGTTTCAGTTTTAGCACAGCCAGTCAGACCAACAGCCATTAACATTCTGAGGGTCTTGAAACCATCTGAGGGATAATCTCTGTCCTTAAAGTCATCTGAATCAGAGTGCAAATGTGTGTGGAACCATCTTGGAATTGCTGAAAGGACTGCATTGTAAATAGGAGATAGGGGAGGTTGTATCCCTTCCTCTTTGTTGAGAGAGGGCTGTTCAATTTTAACATATATAACCTATTTGACTCTCTTTCAAACCAGTGATTTTCTCAAGGTGTGAGCCTTGTTGTCTTTAAGAGAATGGCCCTTGTCTTTCAGGTGTAGATCAATTGCTGAATTCTATACTGATGAGTTGGTTCTCCTGTGTTGTGCATACATTTGTGGAATGGTTGTTTTGTTTTCCCAATGTATAAGTCTGCACATGCCTTGCTGTATAGCACTGTATGGACAACATTGTTCTGTTCATGCCTGGTGCTTTGTCCTTGGAGTGGACAACTTTCTGTCTTAATGTGCTCCTAGATTTAAAGTATACGCTTATGTTTTGTTTGTTGAAATTCCTGGTGAGTTTTTCTAATATTCCAGTCTAAATCCAGCTTGTTCTTTCCATTATCCACTTTTCTACTTTGTTCAAAAGGTGTTTTGCATATATTTTAGCCACAATTTCAAGCTACCAGTTTCTTGCAATCATACCTTATTTTTAAAAAAAAATAGTGTGGTTTTTTTCATCTTAAGATGTCTGGCACATTTCTGCCATCAGTAACTTTCTGGTCTGTAAATGGAATCAAAGCAATTTGAATGCACTTGCTGTTAGTTTTGGGCTTGAAGTTTATGATTAAAAACTTTTCAGCAAAAAATACAAATTAGTGTAATGGAAACTCAGGCTTCTATCTGCACCTTGGACAGAAGAGCAAATTGAGTTTGTCCAAGTTTGGACATGTTCTGAATTCAAAATATAGATATAACCCTGAGCTTTCTATTCCATCTTACTTCAAGATTAGCTAGCCTCTTGTGAAGCATAACTAAGATCAGATCTGCCTTATAAATGGATTGTGATTGGTTGTTATTGTTATCCGCCTTCATGTGCGCTTGGATGTCTGAACAAGCCCAGTCTTGTTTCATGCAACATTATTTCTGGAATAATATTTAAATTGATACATGAACTTAGTTCTTTTCCTTCTACAGTAGAGAAGATTACATTTATAAATCAAGGAAACCAATTCTGAGCCTGAGGTATTTCTTTTAAGATAATCTTTAGAGACAGGTGTGTAAAATGTTCTAAAGAAGTAGCTTTGGGTGATATTAGGAGAAAGTGGGAAGACATTTAGGGTGATAGATATATGTTCAATAGAACTATTTCAGAGAATTTATATGAAATTTTACAGCTAAATAATGGGGGAAAAGTCATATCCAAAGACCAATCCCTGTTTTTGCCAGGCTGGCTCTGAGTTGGCAAGTATACTTTGTCCTCCTTGCCCTTTAGTCTTACATTTCTTTGAAGGAATAGAACAGGATCTAAAGCATAACAATTAAATTTTTATCTCTTATTTGTAATCAACCGTGTCTCTTAGAGTGTTATGAAGTCAAAATTAGGGAAGAACTCCACTAGGTGCCCATCCATTACTCTGCCCTTCCAGTCAGCAGTATTTCAAATCATTAATTGGTTAGAATTAAGTCATGTAATATTAGTAGGCATGATTGGGAAGGAACTGGAATTTTGAATTCAAGTACATGGGTTTTCCCATTCTTTGAATGGGCTGATATTATCCAAAATTCCTTCAGTGTAAAAAAAAAATCCCACACTGGTTTGAAATTTGTCTACCTTCACCACTGCCTTGCTGGTTATAAGCTCCAGCAGGTTTTGAGATCAGCAGCAATTTGGGTGGGGTACTTTTGCAGTTTGGCAACTCAAAATAACACCAAAGTCCAGTAGGGATAGCTTATTTTTAGGTGAGGGTGATTGTCTTGCTTCAGCTTCACTCCATAGCTATTGTTGAAGAAATGGACTCAAAGGACAAGAGGAAGAACTGCTACCAAGGAAACAATCAAATAAGCAGGGCTTAAGTCCGGGCCAAGGAACCAATTTGGGCAAATATCTCAGACAAGCCTCTTTATTTATTTTATTTTTTAATTTATTTGGTTTGTCAAGCATATGAGAAAACAAGTATAAGTATGAATACAACAAATAACATATAAGCAGATATAGGTGTACGCATAAGAAATGAGTACAAATAAATGGGAACAGTAGGACAGGGATAGTAGGCACGCTGGTGCCCTTATGCACATCCCCTTACAGACCTCTTACGAATGGTTCCACCACAAATGCGCGAACAACAAAAGCGCGCCTGACTAAACCGCGGTGACAAAACCGCGCTGACGAATGAGCGCTGAAGCGCGCCAACAACAGCGCGCTGACAGAAGCGCGCTGTAACATAACCCAAAACCTAACCCTAACCCTAACTCTTACCTTAACTTAAATCGCGCTGTTGTCGGCGCGCTTTTGACATCGCAGTTTTAGCGCCGCGGTTTTGTCAGCACGCTTTTGACGTTCGCGCTTTTGTCGGGTCACGCTTACTAATGGGGTGAGGTCCACGGTAGACAGTTTAAAGTAACGTTTTGGGGTTTTGAGGATGTAACAACAGAGTCAGGTGCATTCTAGACATGGATCACTCTGTTGCTTAAGTCGTATTTTCTGCAATCAAGTTTGGAGCAGTTTACTTTGAGTTTGTATCTATATTTTGCCCATGTATTATTCCGGCTGAAGCTGAAGTAGTCATTGACAGGTAAGGACATTGTAGCGTACTAAGCTTAGGTCAGACTGTAGGCGGCGTAATTCTAGGTTGTCCGGGTCCAAAATTTCAAGCTTAGTGGCATAAGGTATTGGAGTCGAGTATTCTTCTAGTGAAATACTTCTGGACTCTCTCAATTGTATTAATGTCCATTATACAGTGTGGATTCCAGGCAGATGAGCTATATTTGAGAATTGGTCTGGCAAAGGTTTTATATGCCCTGGTTTGCAAATACAATGTTACCGGAGAAGAAGCTTTGCAAAATTAGGTTAACAACTCTTAATGCCTTTTTGGCAATGCTGTTAGTGAGTTCTGGGGCTTAGACATTTTGAAATGAAGACTCCTTAACAGAGTGAGGATCTACGAGGTCGTATCTGCCCAGCTTGTATTTAATGTTCTGATTTTTGTTGCCGGTGTATATTTATATATTAAATTTATACAATGAATTTATAGTTCCGAGCACAATTCTGTGAGTACAGCTGTTTACAAAAAAAGTTATCCCGACCTACATGGCATTTGTTTCTTAGTCTGGTCTATTTCGTAGGGTTGACAGCTACACAGAACTATTATTTCTAAAGCAACAACAATATGTCAGGTTGTAAACAGTCCCATACCTTTTAGAGTCTCTCGCTGAGAGTCTCTAACACAAAAGCAGTCTAGTTGTGGAACCGGAACCCAAAGCTGGGCTTTGGATGGGATATCCAAGGCAGGAGGATGAGAAACAAGCCTCTGATTATTTGTCTGTATTATTTAAAGTTAGTATACCAGCAATCTGCAATGAATCATAAAACCCAAACTAAAGTTAGACATCTATAGTAAAAGAGATGATTTTAGAGACTCAGGAAAGTTACCTGTGCTAATTCCTAAAATAAGTAAGTTTAATTAAATTGATCTGAAATTCATGATGGATTGGATTTTAGACATTAGACCACTACAATGATAAGGGTTTTTAGTCTCTGCCACTTTACATTATGCTTTGTCCACTAGGTACAAAAGATCTTACCAGCTTCTCCCAATTATTTAAAGCCCTCTCAAAACTTGGCATGTCCTGTAAATGGCAAACATTGCCTTTTGTTAATAAAAAGCTCTCTTTTCATCAAACTCATTCCATTGTTAAGATGCATTTATTTGCAGCTGTCTTTAAACATTTATCACATTGCCTGGAAAGTCTTAATTGTTAGAAGTTATGGGATTGCAGAAACATTATGAGGTTGTTGCATTTCCTTGGTTTTGGTTTAAAAAACAAACAAACCCACATTTGCACTTCAAGGGAAATTTTCACACTTTCATTCATCGGTAAAGGCAAGTTAATTAACATTTGGCTTTTAACAGCATACTTCCCAATTTTTCCCCAAGATACTCTGCGAATGATCCTTGGTAGTCTTTTTTCTTTTAAAAAAATGCTAATTCGTCAGGGCTAACCTTAAGAAAGAGGAGCGGGTTTAAGAAATGGCTGAAGTCACACCAGCCCACCCTCCCATTCAAAAATACTGCAGAACGCCGGAGCTGGGATGGACCATTGTGCTAATAACAATAGGAGGAGGCTAAGCGTTACTTTCTCACAACACCTTTGCTATTTCCATCTCAGCTCTACTATCCAATCCTAGCCTTCGATTGTCCTGTAAGATCTTTCTATCTTCAACTTTTCTTCTCTTGTAATTGATCATTGCGGGGCCAAGATATTCACCAACTCCCCACCCCACCCCGTCTTATCTTGGAAAATGGATTCTTCCTAAACAGGTGGATCTCAGATTCTATTTACGCGTATAGAGTGCTGGTAGGGCGAGGAAAGCCTGCAATGCAAATTAGCGCGCTGGAGGAAAAGGGGGATTTCTGAGCAGGGCAAGGCAAGCATCTCTCTGACGCAGCTGACAAGGTGTCTGCTTGGCTTCGCCCGTTTCACCTCTCGCAAGGTGAACGATCCAAGGGACCGGATCCTTGTACCTGCGGAGTTAATGTTGCCCAGCGAGGCGGAGGCTTTTTTGGGCTCGCCCGGGATGGAATTCTGGATCAGCCCCGCCGCTAGCGACGAAGACAACGGAAACAGCGATCTGGACGGTAGCGAGGATCTCCTACCCCCGGAATTGGAGGAGGGTAAGGAGGAGGAAGGGGCCCCCGTAGCTAGGGGTTCTGTTGTCCTGGATCTTCAGCCTTCTCACGCCGTTTCCCTCTGGAGAGAAAAGCTGCTGCCTGTCTAGACCTTTTAATTTTTCTCAAATGTTTTTTTTTCCCTTTGACAGAAGTGCAATGCTTGGAGGGTGGGTTTAGACTCTAGACGGGTGTTTTTCGATTTCAGTAACTTTAAGGTGTGTGGAATTCAGCTCCCAGGACTTCCAGCAAGCAAGTTTAAGATGTGTAGTTGGCAGCTTCCACAATGCTGTCTGGGGAATTCTGGGAATTGAAGGCCATACATCCTAAAATTGCTGCAGTCTGAAAAACTCTTCCAGAGAGTTTCCTTTCAGCAAAGTTTTCCAGGTGTATCAGATTATAACTCCCATCATCCCCAGCCTGTAATATGTCTAATACTGGAGGTGCCGATCCAGATCTGTTGGTGAAATGCCATGGATGGTCCAGAAAGAAAGGTAGATCTGTGTCTACCTTTCCAAAACAAAACCCTGCTTGTTCCTGATAACCCAGTTACAGAACAAAACCAAGGTGACCCTGCCATCTTTATAGGCGATGGCCAGCTTGTTGCTCTGTGGCCTTGCCCTGATAGTTTTGATGGTTGTCCGATGTGTATAGATCTACAGATTGCTACTTTCCCCATCCTACTTTCAAGGCAGTAATATTTTATTTCTGTTTGCCATGGATATGGTTAAAAAAAATGATCTGTTTAGTTGGAAAATCTAACTCCCAATTCAGTTGTTTTAACCAAACCTGCTTAAGATTGGTTAGAGATAGTGGGAATTGTAGTTTAAAAACCAAAAAAAAGCTTGAGAAGAGCTATTTGTTACTATTTCCTTCCATCTGTTCTGAAGCTACCTTATCAGAATATTATGGGTCCTATTTAGACAGGTGCACGGAAGAAACAATCTCAGATTCCTATCTCCTGACTGTTGCATTCAAACTCTATGAACCTCCTGTCTTCAGGCTTTGTTTGTTTGTTTTCTAACCTATCAAAATAAAATGGGAAACAATGATATTGGGAATAAGCCCAAATTGTTAAAATGTCCGTAAGAAGGGCATCATCTTATGTTACTGATAGCAAATAATACAGAGAGTAATAGGGCAAGTTCTGATCAAAGATTTTAGAGAAAGCTGAGGAAATGCAAAATCCTAAACTTTCTTGGCAATTAATGGAGGGATTCTCTTAGGAAAAAAAAAACTTGCCTTTAGAAAGGGAGGGGGATCTAATATCATTTTTTTTCATATGTGCTCATCTAAGTTGAGAGAAGATGGAAACACAGAAATCATTAAAATGTCCAAAGGCTAGTCTTGTATAAGAATTCCCTCTTTAACTTAACACAGAAATCATTAAATTGTCCAAAGGCTAGTCTTGTATAAGAATTCCCTCTTTAACTTAAGTGCAATCAAGCACATTTTTCATTTCCCTTTAAATTTGAGTGCAGTTTCTTCCAGTCTGAACCATTTTAAAGGTTGAGATTTATGTGTGACCCCAATGATGCTTGCAATGAATCTAAAAATGTGCATTATATAAATTGGCTGCGGCAGTTTTTCTAATCCAATGTGTGTGTTTTGCTTCTGTTGTGCAATCTGAACCTTTTAATTTATAGGAATTAAATCACATGTTAAACATTTGGTCATTTGCCATAGTATTAGTTGCTCCTAGAATGTTTCTCTGCTTCTTTATGATAACGGGCAATACAAATAAAAGCTCTCATGACTTCCAATTGAAATGGTTCATTAATATATTACATGGTGATATCTTTGAATGCTGAGCATCCTCAGCATACTGTGGAATAAAAGAGAGAAATGAGTTGTTAAAAACATAGCTACTCACCAGACCCAAACATAGCTGCTTGCCTGCTTGCTTCGCTCATGGTTCTTTCTTGTTAAGCAGGTTACTGCAATGTTCTTTTATCATCAAGGCATAAATCCTGTACAACCATCTTAATTTTGTTAAACTATTATCTCAGAGTTTAATTGAATGCTTTTATTATCTGGGTTTAATTGTAGGTTACTGGAATGGCTTTAAAACTGATTACTTTTGTTTTTGGGGAGTTGTTTTAGCTATTTATGTAGTAAAGAAGAATGCAAAAATACCACAAATTTAATGTTTTATTTTTCACGGGGATTTATTTTTCAGGGGGAATGGCATATGGCCATACTGATTGAAGGTGATGGGAATTTAGATCAGCAAATCTGGAGAACAATGCGTTCAAAAGACTAATCAGAAATGCCCACCAAACCTTAAGTCAATATCCCATCAGTAACATCTTCTCTAGCTTTCCCCCCCCTCTTAGTTTGAAAAATCTGATGTGGTTTAACAAGTTACGATTTGGATTAACTGACTATAAAAAGTGATTGGCAATTGTACTTTCTGACAGATGCCCTTATCTCATTTGCAGTAGATGTAATCTAAGAGTAAAGAATTTTAAAAGTTCATCCTTCTGAAGTATCCATGAACTGTTCATGAATTGTTGTGATAAACTCATTTGGGAAAAATTCAGTAGCTTTACTGCTCAGATACCAGGGTCATTTTCTCGCAGGCCAGTGTGAATTTGAACTAAAAATGCTTTGGTTTGGTTTGCCCTGCCATCTTGGAGCCTTCAATCCAGTCAAGAAGCACACACAGAAGTACCAACTCACTTTTCATTGTAAGGTTACATTAACAAAATCTTGCAAATGTGAAATTATATCTTTCCCCCCCTCCCCAAACTTTATAGTCCAAGAAATTAAGAAACCTCTCAGATGTTTGCCGTGTGCTCATTTCTTTTGTGGGCTCAGCTGCCTCTTGTCTGTCCTTTGTCTAGTCTGTGATTCTTCTGTTTCTCAAGGCCATTCCCACATACCGTTACATCCTATTGAATGTTACAAGGTTTGGGTGAAATATAGGTAGTCTCAATTTATGAGTGCAATTGAGCCCAAATTTTTTATTGCTAAGCCAGACAGTTGTTAAGTGAGTTTTGCTGCATTTTATGACTTTTCTTGCCAAAATTATTAGTGAATTACTGCAGTCGTTAAGTTAGTTACATGGTTACAAAGTAAACCTGGCTTCCCCATTGACTTGGCTTGTCAGAAGGTTGCAAAAGGTGATCACATGACTCCGGGACATTGCAACCATCATAAATATGAGTTAATTGACAAGTGTCTGAATTTTGACTACATGACCACAGGGATGCTGTAATGGTCATAAGTGTGAAAAACAGTCATAAGTCATTTCCCCCCAGTGCTGTTATAATTTTGAACAGTCACTAAATGACCTGTTGTAAGTTGAGGACTACCTGAATTGTCAACTTTGGGGTATTGCCTTTTTGGTGAAGTTTTGAGAAGGAATGCTAAATTTTAATTCTCTCCTGAGACGTGAATTCATTTTACAGATTTAAGGTTTCAATTTTCATTTCTCCCAGGTATTTGATGGAACATTTAATAAAATAGTGCTCCTTGTTAATCACTTCTGTAAGTGGCATTTTTAAGAATGTCAAAGGTTTTGATGTCTTTTACATAACTACTTGTTTCGAAGAGCCTTGTGAGATTATGCCTCTTTTATTGCCATATCAGAGGGATCCCAAGGATGATTTAAAGCAACTATCCCAACCTGGTTCTCTTAGGATGTTGTGAGATTTATCACGCTGGCTTGAATTCTAAGAGTCTCCAATAGGAGGGATACTTGGTTGGGGAAGGTTGGTATATAGCATTCCCAGAGCAGGAGTTTCCTGTGGACTTCTACTCCCAGAGTTCTGAGCAATATTCAAATTGGCTGAGGAATTCTGGGAGGTTGGCTCATACACTTTGGCCAGATAAAGGAAGGATATAATAAATTATCTGCTTACTTTATTATTGAAACAGCACAATCTCCGATTATGCAAAACAAGCATCATATATTTGCAGCATGCAAACTATCTCCTTCCATGAGGATGGAGCAGGAAAGTAAGGAATTAAAAGCATATTTATAACCTGTTTCTTTTGCTGTAGCATTTTCACTGAATTTAGTGTAATTCCTGCCAATATTATTTATTTACCCTTAGTCTCAAGTATTGAATGCTATAAAAATGACATTCCCTAGTAATTATTAACTTGCAAGTCATCGAGACAGAAATATTAATTTGAGTAATTCAGCAATTCTGAACCCCCCCCCCCACCCTCCTCCCCCAATTTCTATTTCCAGACTGAACTTGTTGGCCTTCTCTGAATTAGAAAAGATTGAACTGCATCCCTCGATCTGAACTTCTGGGGCAGAGACAAAGAGAACAATAGGAGATCTCCTATGTTAGACAGATGCTATGCATGGAATAGCCAGGCTAAGAAAGCCTCTTAAAACTTGCATAGCTGCTTTCTTTATCCATGCTTTGCAGGAAAACATTCATGCTCTAATTATTTCCAATTATGGTTCAGTTGGATGCTAGCATGCCATATAGATCCCCTATGGAGTGAGGGGGAGGTCCATACACACGCAAGCTGGAGGAGTATCATGGTGTCTCTGTATAGCCAGATTGTGCCAATCAGCCTGCAAGCAGAAAGGGAAGAAGGATTAGCTGACCTGTTAGAATAGCAAGTGGACAGATAGTACAGGATGTTCTCTAGGATTGGGAATCATAACCACTTTACTGTGACTTGGCTCTGCATTGCATAACATCCACCTCTGGGAACAGCATAATAAGATTGAATGCCATCATTGATCTACTAATCCATTTACTGCTCATCAAATAAGGAACATTTTCATTTTGCCATATTAATAAACTGTTCCTATCAATTACTGGGTAACCATCTGGGTAGCGAACAGCAAGGCAAAATGGAAACAATAATAAGAACATCAGTGCAATACCATCCAGGATGAATGGCTACAGTTGAGCTGAATGAGCTTTGGAACACTATAGTTTTAGTTGCCTTGTAGAACGAAAGGAGGAAACTCCCTTCAGGAAGGAGTGGGTCAGAGTGAGCTACAGTGAGTAAGGTTTGATGCTCGGCCCACCCTCTGTGCAGTTCTCATGGGGAAGGAGTCTCCACAGGATGTGTCTAGCAGTTTAGAATATACTATAGAGGGAATTTAAATTCCGGTAGGTCATGTCTTATGTAATCCAGTGCTATACCCTAATGGGCTTATTTATCTTTAAGAAGCAGATTTATGTCTACAAGTAATAAGCTATCCTCTCTAATCTATTAACCAGCCCTGGGTTTGGCCATGGGGAGGAGAGATCTTATTTAGGTTATAGCTAAAAAGGTAAATCTCATGAGCCTTGACTGGTATTTCCTGATTTGTAGGATGTTCGATGTGAAAACAGAAGTTTCAGGTCATTTCTACCCCCCACCCCACCCCGCCCCAGAATCTCAGAGTGTCATAATTGAGCATTTGAAAGGACCATCTGAGTTTTAGGAAATTCTGCTTCAGCATGTTGGAGAATTAGACAAACTTTTCAAGCTCAATCTAGTGGCATGGTTGTTGATTACTTTTTTAAAAATAAACTGAAAAATAGAGATTATTAGATTATTGATTATGTTCAGTCCATAATGTCTTCTGTTATTATTGGGAAAGATTTCTGTTTGGAGAAATGATGGCAACCTATGTCGTTAACAGTAAATGAGAGACCGATGAGCAAAATACCCATGGCTTCTTCTGCTGATTCTTAGTTTGTTTTCTGTTCTGCCAATATTTGTAAGAAATACGGAGAATGCAAAAGCCTATCAGTATTTTGACTCAGGACTATAGTAATAAGCCTTTTTACAGGGAGTCAGGATTTGCAAATTATGCTTTCAAAAATTGCTTTCTTGGGATGGATTCATACATCAATTTGTCACTATGGCTTAGTGTAAATACATAAAAGCTTCCTAATATTTCTAAGTTCTAAATAATATAGGAAACTAATAAAAGCTACTAGAATGTACCTGTGTGTGCGTGTATCTATAATCCATGCGTAAGGCCTTTCAAAGGATCTATTTTATGAGAATTTATGTTGAGATTTCAACCATAAACTGAATATTAAAATAAATCTGATTTTGAAAATTTGTAATAAAAAGCTCCTTCAGTATTTTAGAAACCACCATTGGGGTGTGTGTGGTATCTATTGCCTTTGATAATGCTGAAATGTTAGTTGAATTGTGCCTACACCTGATTAAATTACCTTGTTTTCTCCTACAAAGAGCCAAATCTATTCCTGAGTTAAGGAGCTTTGATCGCTCTGCTTGAGGGAGAGGGGGATAATTTATGAGCATTTAATTGAGTCTGACAATTGTCCTTGGATGATAAATGGGACAGAGATGCCATGGCATAGCTTTCTGTGCCTTCCCCCAAATGTGGTTTTCCATTCTATTTGCAGCTTGAGGCAAGGTGTCTTTTGCCTAGGTAGATATGCTTGTTCAGCAGGATAAAGCAAAATCTATTTTTGCCAGGAATTTATTTAATACATTAGTTATTCCCAGAGTAAACATTTTTTAAAATCTGGAACTAGAAATACCTTGGAATATTTTCTTAAGCTGTTAAATTACTGTATTTTAACTGGAAATGTAATTGTAATACTGGATATCAATTTTATAGTATTTATAATATAAATATAGCCCCGAATGCCAAGTACTAAGGGTTGAACTGAATTAACATTCTACGTAAATGACACTGCAGAGGTGCAAACATAATATTGCAAGTTATGTAAAAGGCCTTCAGAATTTCTCATCTGCAAAATCTGGTTCAAGAACATTTGGTGTGGATCATTCTGAGTTTAACATTGCATGCATTGTATTGTTTCAAATGAAACATAATTGGCTATGTTAATATAACACACTAAGCCATAGTTTATGGTTTACAAATTACAATGGCTGGGCCTATGTAGCATAGTGAACCATTAGGACTTAATGTGTGAATTGACCAATGCACAATTGTTCCATGCAATCACAGAGCTAAAACAATTTTTAATACTTTTTTCAGACTTTGGAATCTATTAGTTAAAATGATCAAGGAGCAAAGCTCTAGTGATAGAAAATTGGCATGGATTTTTCTCTCTCCTTAGTTTCTTGTGGAACCCTATTCACAGTTTAGAAAAAAAATATTGAATTGCAGTGAGAACTTAGCATTCTAAGAAGTTCTTTTTTGTTTTCTTTAGGTTTTTTTAAACAAATATTTACCTATTGTGATATACATATGAAATGTGCTAAGTGCCTATTGACATTCCAATTGATTAATTTACTATATAGAATGCAGTGGATTCAAATGTTCTTATTATATATATGATTTGCAATTTGCTTCTGTCAGGCTTCAACAACCAAATAATACACACAGAGTTATTTTTAAGCAATTTCCTTTATTTCCTTACAGGCAGAAATTTTCCAAAACTTAAATAACTATATATACTCTTTAAAGATGTAAGTTCTAGGAAGGAGCTTTCTTGATCCTCTTTCTCTCAATCAAACTATCTAAATGTTGCTTCCCTTGGATCTCTGGAATGTAGTCCTGACAATCCAGACTACATTCCACCACATCTTCACATCAACGGAATACTTATTACCATTTTCAAAAATTATTGAATTTTGCACATTGGGTTCTGTGGTCATCTCCTTGGATCTCTGCCAGGCTCCCTGCCCCAACTGATTTTTTTTAAAAACTTTAAAAATAAAAAGAAAGCTTACACATTGTAACATTGAGTACTACTGTCCAACATGTTTTAAAATCTACTTTACCAAGCAAAAAAAACTTCAGTAGCATCATGGGCAGTCAAGAGAGGTCTACGGAGCAAGCTCACTGGTTTCTTTCTCAATAAATGGTGCTCCTCTGGCTGCCCGTGCTTACCATGGCATCCATTTCTAAATGCTCAAGCCATGATGTGAAACACAGATAGCTGGATTTCAATCTACATTACAAAGTGCCTGTACCTCCCATATGTACTATGTTCAACTCTTTCTCTTTGTTTTTTCCATAGTAATATGTTCTGAGCGTGTTGAGAAGATCACCAAGACATATCATGATATAGATGCGGTCACCACCTTGCTGGAAGAGGTACCTTTCACCAATTGTTCTTTCAGAATCTTAAGTCAAAACATTCTGCAGCCTGGTAGAGTGGTAAGAAGCTCAAGATGGTTTTGGCCTTTCCTAACAGCTGATCCCTATGGCTGTTAATTATGGCACGGGCAGGAAAAATTCCACAAGGAAGGTCTTGGTTTAGGGTGGATGTGGAAGGCACAAAGAGGAGAAGAAATTGCTTTAGGAGTGGTGAGCGCTGAAAGACCTAAAGTTGTTGAGAAAGTGATGATGGTAGAAGCCAGGTAGCATGGGTGAGGAGATGAAAGCATATCAAGTGAAACACTGCTCTCCTGTCTTCTCTGTTCTCACAGAAGGAACATGATTTGGAGTTAGCAGCCCGCATTGGGCAAACATTGCTCAAACAAAATCGGAGTTTGTCTGGACGCAATGAGTTCTTGGACGAGCAGCTAGAATTGGCAAAAGAAGAGGTAAGGAAGACTTCTATTTTGCATGTTGAAAAGAGAAGAAATAAATAAATATTGGGGAATGGTTGATATTGAGTTAAAAAGACATTTGGAGAGTCAAGTTGGAAATTATTTGAGGCTGACTCAGATTCTGAGATATCCATAGTAGTTGAATGATGGTTTAAGGTTTTATAGCTTGTTGTTTATGTCTCATTCCATTGTTTATCCTAGAATCTGGGCATCCTAGAATCTGGGCAGACTTTTCACTCTAGTTTGCCCTATCTCCAGTAATCTTTACAGTAGCTTGTATATGGTTTAAGGTGAGAAAGCAGTTGGTTAAAGTAACATGGTTGGCTTCACAGTCAATGAGTCCTGACACTTAGACCATAGCAGCATCCCCCATGGTCACACAATTAAAATTTGGGTGCTTGGGAACCAGCCTGTATTTACAACAGCCGCAGCATCCTGTGGTCATAGATTACTCTTTGCAACCTTCCCAACAAATGAAATCCGCAGGCAAAGCTGCATTAATTTAACAGCGGCATACGGATTCAATTAATTGCAGAGATTTGCTTAACCATGGTAAAAAGAATTGTAAAACTGGGACAATTCACTTAACAACCACTTTACTTAACAGCAGAAATTCTGGTCCCAATTGTGGTCAAGTACCTTTTATGTATATTTTTCCTGTGGCTGAACAAATAAAAATATTTTCTGAACTTTCTGTGTTTTTTAAAACCCAGATAGCTCAGCTGAGACATGAAATATCGATGCGGGATGATCTTCTCCGCATGTTTACCAACAGCACTGAAGAGAGTGAGCCAACTTCCATCACATCTACCCCGTGAGTATTTAGGCAATGGTGTAGGGTGTTCCCTCTCTCTGATATATCCCTTGCAGAGAAACGTCAGTGGGAAATGGTGGCAGGAAGTGGGTGAGACATAAACTAATTCTCCAGTTCATTTAGGATACCACAATTTGTATAAAATAATCAGATTTGGATTAAACGTGATATTTGAAATGAAGTGAGTGATTTTTTTTCTGTACATAGCCATCAACAAGGGTGGAGAGAGATGCCACACCAAGCACAAAGGAATAAAAATATTTGTCTTAATATTAAGTTTATTGTTGTAACCATAGATCATAACATGTAATGTACTACAAAACAGAATTATCTAACTGTAAAAGTAAAGTAATTAAAAACAGTATTAGATGTAAAAGGGTTACAGCTATATAAAAGCAAAGCTACAACTAAGAATTAAATATTTCTAAATGTAAACAGCAGGGCGAAAGTAGCAACTTAATTACTCTCGGTTTCGGATATGTCTGTTGTATTATTGGAATGCTTTGAGTGGAAACCTGTATTACTGGAATGTTTTGTGTGTTTCACAATGCACACTTTCAACCATGTGTTCCCTTCAGGTGTATTTTGACTTCAACAATCATTTTCCGCTAGCTGGCTGCAAATGAAGATAGTTGTACTATCAAATACTTCTCATTCCCCCCTATACACACACACACTCTGCCTGCCTCTGTCTATCTCTCCCCCTCCCTCCCTCCCTCCCTCCCTCCCTCCCTC